GCCCAGGCGGGTCTCGAACCTGCCGGCTCAGGCAATCCACTCACCTCAGCCTCCCAAAGGTGCGGGATTACAGGTTGAGCCATTAAGCCCGGCAAAAAAATTATTATTATTATTGTTTTTTTGTAGAGACAAGGTCTCTCTATATTGCCTAGGCTGGTCTTGAACTCCTGGGCTAAAGCAATCGTCTCATCTTGGCCTCCCCAAATGTTGGTATTACAGGCGTGAGTTTCTTAGCTATAAAATGAGGCTGTTAGATTCAAGAAATTTCTGCTTTAAAATGCCAAGACTTTTTGCAAGCACATCTAACATTCAGTTGCACCATCTTATATTTACTCATTGCTTTCAGCATTGTTAACATGACAGCATTCACCCAGTGACTTTTGGATGCTAGTGTTCTGAAAAAATTATCCAAATCCTCTTTTAGAACAAAGAGTTCACATGATCTTGCTCATGTAAATTTTTTTCCTGAGAGCATTGTTCACCATTTGTGTCAAGAGAGGTAGGCTATATTTTAAGGGGAAGAGTATGATGCTCCCCACAACAGGTAGAACTTGGACAGATACTTCACATAAGAAGACATGAAAAGTAAATGGGTTGGAAAGAAAAGGAAAGAGCAGTTAAGAAATGTGAATTGTTCTAGAATCATGAAGACAAATATATTTGAATTAATTGAGAAAAGTAAAAGTTTTATTTTCATTTAAATTAAGGTTTAAAAATTGTCAAGTCTATGCCATAAGCCAGTTTAGAGGTAAAGTATTGTCAAATTGCATTAAAAATCCATATGTAATCCCTAAAGGGGCTGAGAATTGAACATTAACCTGAAGATTTTGGGAGGCTAAGGTGGGAGGATTGTTTGAGATCAGACTTGAGTTCGAGATTAGCTTGGTCTTGAATTTTTAAAAAGTTTTTTGAGTGACCTCATTTCTACAACGAAGTTTAAAAATTAGGCAGGGATGGTAGCATGTGCCTGTAGTCTTAGCTTCTCAGCAGTTTAAGGCAGGAGGATGGTTTGAGTCTGGGAGTTTGAGGCTGCAGTGAGCTACGATTGCACCACTGCACTCTAGCCTGGGCAACAGAGTGAGACGCTATTTCTAACATTAAAACAAAACAAAGCAAAAACAAAAACAAAAAACCCCCCAACCAACCAAACAAAAAGCTAAAGACTGAGAAAATGAAAATTCCCTCAATCCTCTTCTCTCAAGAATTCTGTTTCTGTCTTAGAAGTCCAGGCTCAGATTGGAAAAATATTTTTCTGCCTTGCCTTACCCAGGTAGACCATCCCAAGGCTTCCTGGCTTCAGAAAGGTTGAACTGGTTTAAGGGAAGTGCCAGGGCTACCTTGTGGGCCTGGCAGTCTGCATTGGTCCTGAAGCCCCAGGGCCACTTTGCCTCTTCTCTTTCCCTCACCATATAGTGACCCCTGATCCTATTCTCAGTTGGAATAGTCTGTCCCTGAGCTATCACCTTTCTTAATTCTCTCTTTCCCTAGCCCTCTGGACCAGACCCTGCACACCACTGAAGGGTCAGAAATAGGCCACTAGTTCTGGGACTGGCATAGTGATTGCATTTACAGAATAAATAAAAGTAGACAGTCTACTCTACTTGCAAAAATGTACTTTTTTGAATAAATATGAGGTGAAAATGTAACCAGAGAGGAACAGAAAGAGAAGTTAGATCTAATCCTTTTCCATCTCTCCAGTGAATTACAATAGTTTCAATTCATTTTATGAGATGCTAAAATGCTTCCAAAGCTGTAAATACAAACCTTCCTTCCACTGTTATGAGCTTCTTCGATAATTTTCTTCACTTCATCTGCATAAGCATTGGCTGGGTTTGCATGGTCTTCTCTATATTTTCCTCTGTAAATATCTGGAGCTGGTGCCTGAAAACATCAATCTCTTTTTCTCATTGTTTCTCATTGTTTGCCTCTTTGGCAAACTTTTGTTTTTTTTTTTTTTTTAAAGACAGTTCCCCACGAGGGCATAATAGAAAGGTGATCATATGAATTTAAGTGACTTTAAGGTTCCTTTGTTTCTTTTTTCTTAACATGTCTGAATTCTATGAAGAACTGATGTCTTTGAATTGTGAACAGAAGCTTGGATTTGCTTATAAATCAAAATTGTATCCCTATTCTCATAATCAGCAAATTGTATCTCATTCTCATAATTAGCAAACTGTATCCCTATTCTCATAATCAGTAAATTCAAATCAACAAGTGTGATTATAATATTTGAAACTGTCAATGATTGGAAACTGTATTTAACTATTCTATATTTAAAATAAATCCACACTTATCAACTGTATCACAAATTGTAGTCAGAAAACTAAATAGTGCCACAGCATTGACTCCAGATATTAAAATCTTGAAAGAAGGTATTATGATTCTCTTAAGAAAGTCTACCCGTCCTCAATGAATACAAACATATCAAATGGGTATCACTGTTTCAACAACTAGACTAGTTTCTTGATTTTACTTAATAAATCCATATAATAATTTAGTATAGAGCAATTTAATTTTAAGACAGTCATATACACTCAGTTCAACTCTGAATTTTGAGTTGGCATCAGTGATAGAAAAAGTAACTGAAGATCAAGGAGCAAGAAAAAACATAATAGCTCTGAATAACATACTCTACTACTAAGTTGCCTAGTGAAATACTTATCAATGGATGTTAAATCACATTCTATCTTATCTAGTTCTTTGACTTTAGCCATATAACTTCTCTAGATCTTAGCTTCTTTTTTATAATTTCATTCTGATGAAAGTATATTGGGCTGGATTCTCACTAGGCATTCTTCCAGGACTAACATTCTGATTCTAGGAGTCTAAGATACTCACCACATGTACAAATTCTTTCTTGACATCTTTGCCCTTCTGAAATTTATATGGACTGATCTCAATTAAGGATGATAAGTGACCATGGTAAGCACTGAAAAGAAAAAGAACAGTAACCAAAATCACTCCAACAGAGATGTTTTTCTAATATATACAAATGAGTGTTGCATTTCATGCATCTGTACCCATCCAGGGAGAATATCAATGTTGGTGCTAGATTTAACTATATGGGATCTAATTTTTCATGGCAGGACTGGTCATTTAATTTGTCCAATTCTCCTTAGACATGTAATAAAACACATGGAAAGCCAAGTATGTGTCCTCATTCCTCACCAATTTCTTATTAGTAGGGAAAAAATAGATTTCTTTGAATTATAAATCTAAGTTAGATTATCTAAATATGAAAAATTATTTCCTATATCTCCATGCAAAACTTCACATGTATGTCTTCTTTAAGTGTATTTGATAGCTACATTCTAGTAACTTTTAAAAACAACTTTATATCATAGAATGGACATGTGTTTCTGTGTGGGATGATTTCTAAGGGATATTCAATTGCAAATATTGGTCAAATACCATTATAGTTGGGAAGGAAAAGAAAATTTCTTAAAAAACTCAGTTGGAAAGATGGTTAAGAGTCTATGAAGTTCTTTTCTCTCACTTAAAATTCAAGTGGCTATAATATCCCTTTTTTAATTTGTTGCCCAGAGATAAAATTGGAAAATCTGGAAAAGAAATTATAAAAGGCTCATGAATCAATAAAACAGAGGAAGAACTTGCCCTACCACAGATTAAGACATGCTCAAAGCTATACTGATACTCAGTATGGTATTGGGATAAGAACAAAGAGACCACTGAAAAAGAAAGAGAGCTCAGAAACATAGCCACATATCCATCCATACATGGTAACAAAATGGATTCCAGAGAGATTCAATATAAGGAATAATTATAGGCTGGGTATGGTGGCTCATGCCTGTAATCCCAGCACTTCGGTAGGCAAAGGAGAGAGGATTGCTTGAGTCCAGGGGTTCAAGACCAGCCTGGGAAATTTGGTGAGACCTTGTCTCTATGATAAAAATAATTAGCCAAGCATGGTGGCTCCATGCTACTTAGAAGGCTGAGGCGGAAGGGTTACTTGAGTCCAGCAGGTTGAGGCCCTGTTAAGTCACTTCAAAGAACAATTAACCCTTTGCAGACTGTTCTCACTCAACTGAGAGAACACTACCCTTTACCAGTGGTCATAGATTTGAAAATATAGCACCCATGTAACCATAAGTCTTGTAACTTATGTAGCCTTTTGAGTGTTATAACTATGAATCAACAATATGTTGTAGTGAATAATGTTTTATTTTGAATAGGCTCTGTTAACACCCTTACTCTATGGCAAGCTTAATCAGCTCTTCAGTTTGGTGTTACTGATAACACTGTGAGTTATCTTTTGGTAGCCAGAACCAAGAAATGCAGGTGATAAATGTTATGATAGACAAAATGTGTCTGTAACTTGAGTTCTCTACAATGCTCTGTCAGTCACATAATCAATGTATAGGTCAGCAACCCTAAACTTATAAAAATGGCCTTTGAGGCCGGCCTCAGTGGTTCAGCTTGTAACCCCAGCACTTTGGGAAGCCAAGGCAAATGGATTGCCTGAGCCCATGGGTTCAAGACCAGCCCTGGCAACTTGGCGAGACCTCGTCTCTACAGTAAATAAAAAATGAGCTGGGTGTGGTAGTGCATGCCTGTAGTTCTGGCTACTTGGAAGGTCGAGGCTGGGGTTGGCCATTAGCATGCCACTGCACTCCAGCCTAGGTGACAGAGTGAAACTCTAACTCAAAAAAAAAAAAAAAAAAAAAAACCTGTGAAATCCAAGGGGTGAGCAAACTGGTTCCAGGTTCTGTCTCTCTGAATTCTGAATTCAGAACTAATCTTCTTTCTGCCAGTTCCCTGCCTCTTGATTTATCGGTATTGAGAGATAGCAGCCGGGCATTTACTTGGAATAACAATAGTACATACTATGACCTAGCAATCTCCCTTCTGGGTATTCATCCCTAAGAAACTCTCAGAAAGGTCTATAAGGGCACATGTGCAAGTATTCTCACTGCAGCACTGCTTGTGGTACATGGGAGCAGAGAGCAGTCACAGTATCCATCACTGGGGGACTCTATATACTAATCAGCACTGTGCTATAATCCCTGGTGGCAGCCATCCCCCACATGCAGCTACTGGGCACTAATTTGAGATGGACTCTAGGTGTAAAACACATCTTGAAATTTGAAGACTGAATACAATTTAAAAAATGAAAAATATGTCAACAGTTTTTATATTGATTGCACATTGAAATAATAATATCTTGGATATAATGGCTATTAGAATTTTTTTTTGTTGGTGTTGGGGGTCTCACTCTGTTACCCAGGCTGGCGTGCAGTAGCATGATCATTGCCTCGCTGTAGCCTTGACCTGCTGGGCTCAGATGATCCTTCTACGTCAGCCTCCTGAGTACTTGGAACTACATCTGGCTAATTTTTTTTTATTTTGTTGTAGAGACAAGGTCTTGCCATGTTGTCTAGGCTGGTCTCAAACTCCTGGGCTCAGGCAATCCTCTTACCTCTGCCCCCCAAAGTGCTGGGATTACAGGCATGAGCCACCATGCCCGGCCAACTACAGAACATTTTAAATTGCCTATCTAACACACTTTCTATTTCTACTGGACCGCACTCAGTTGATGAATAGAACAAATGTATGCCCAGTAACATAGAGTTATTGAAGCATAGTGTTGAGAGAAAAAAAAACAGAAACAGAAAGAGATCTATAGCAATTTGGTAAAATTAAAACAGATGCACATAAAATAATACATATTTTATATGAATATAAAATAAAAGATACATATTAAATATATTAGAATAACTGTGTATCAGTGAGGGAGCATGAAAAAAAAAGACAAATGCCACCCATCCCCAAAGATGTCCACATCCTAATACTCAAAACCTAAGAACATGTTATGTTTCATGGCAAAGGGGACTTTGCAGGTGTGACTATATTAGGGATTCTGAGATGGGGAAATTATCTTGCATTATCCAGGTAGATCCAATGTAATCACAAGGGTCCTACTAGCGAAAGAAGGAAGCCGGAGAGCCAGAGACAGAGAAGAGGATATAAGGATGGAAGCAGAGTCTGGAGTGATGTGATTGCTGACTTTGAAGATGAAGGAAAGGACCTCAAGCCAAGGAATGCAGGCAACCAGATGGGAAAGGCAAGGAATCCCCTAGAGCCTCCAGACGGAGCACAGCCCTGTGGATGCCTGAATTCTAGCTCAGTGAAACATTTTGGATTTCTAACCCACATACACGTAAGAGAATGAACTTGTGTTGCTTATGCCCCTTAGTTTGTTACCACAAATATAGCAACACTAGGACACAGGTATACCAACCATTACATAAGAACGTATAGAAGGGCATGAAAGGAAGTGCATAATTAATTTCACCTTCTGCATTGGAAATCAGTGAGGCAGGCTGGGCATGGTGGCCTATATCGCAGCACTTTGGGAAGCCAAGGCAAGAGGATCACTTGAACCCAGGAATTCAAGACCAGCTTTAAAAAAAAATTAAAAAATTGACCAGGCATGGTGGTCTGCACCTGTAGTCCCAGCTACTTGGGATGCTGAGGTGGCAGGATCACCTGAGCCCAGGAAATCAAGGCTGCAGAGAGCTGTGATTGTGCCACTGCACTCCAGTCTGGGCAACAGAATAAGACACACACACACACACACACACACACACAGAAATTAGCGAGGTAGAGGGGTAGTCAAAAAATGAAAAGAAATATCCCTAGTAAAGAAGGATATTATCAGAGTTCTTGTTTAAGTGTAACAAATCCATGTTTGAGAAGCAAGATCAAATAGTGACTATTAGTAGTCACAAGCTAATGAGAAAGTTTTAAATTTTACTTGGCTTCTTATTCTCTTTTTTCGTTGTTTAAAAAAATTTTTTTTTAATTGAAATGAGACCTCACTAAATTGCCTAGGCTGGTCTTGAACTCCTGAGCTCAAGCAATCCTTCCACCTCACCCTCCCAAAGTTCTGAAGTTATAGGGGTGAGCCACCATGCCCAGTTGGCTTCTTGTTTTCTTTAAAATTTGCTCTAAATTGTTATCTTTAAAATTAACGACCTGGCTGGGTGAGGTGGCTCATACCTATGATCCCAGCACTTTGGGAGGCAGAGGCGAGAGGATTGTCTGAACACTGAGGCTCAAGAACTGCCTAGGCAACTTGGTGAGAACTTGTCTACAATAAATCAAAAAATTAGCCAGGCATGGTGAAACGCATCTATAATTTCAGTTACTTGGAAGGCTGAGGTGGAAGGATCACCTGAGCCCAGCAGGTAAAGGTGCAGTGGCCATGAGTGTGCCTCTGCACTCCATCCTGGGTGACAGAGTGAGACTCCAACTCAATAAATAAATAGACAAATAAATGACCTTGGATAATCACAATAGTGAGTGAATGCCTAGAGTTTTTAGAAATTACCTGTATTTTTATTCTGAAGAAGATTGAGTTACTTACATGTTAACAGTGGTTCAATAAGCAATTAATGTGTGAAAAGTGAGTCTGATTCATGCAAAGTCCTGAGGCTATGGTCACCACAGCACCTTAAAAGAGCTTCTCCAAATGGCATGTACTTATTAGAAATTAAGTAGCCTCTGGATTTAATAAATAACTTTAAAAATCTTATTCCATATATCCACTCTCCTCCACATGTGCTTATAGTGTTGGTATGGATAGTATAACACAATTTCGTCTCTGAAAAAGCATCTTGCTTAGAAATCTGCACACACACGTTTATTACAGCACTATTCACAATAGCAGAAATATGGAACCAACCATGCTACCCATCACAACTGGATTGGATAAAAAAAAAAATGTGGTATATATACACGATGGAATACTATGCAGCCATAAAGAAGGATAAAATTATGGACTTCGCGGCAACTTAGATTTAGAGTCTATCATACTCAGTGATCTATCACAGAAGCAAAGAACAGAGTACCACATGTTCTCACTTATATGCAGATCCGGAACATTTATCATAATACTAAAAAAAAGGAATTGGCAGTAGTGGGACAGTGGCGGGGCGGGGGGGGGGCACATAATATCAATAAGAGTACCTGATCCCAAACCAGTTGAAGTGGGGACCAAAAGGAGACCCAAAGTTTACCTGTACAATGACCACTTATCTACCTAATCCTGAATTGTACCCCACGGCTTTACAATAAATCTTTTTTTTTAAAAAAAGAAATCTTGCATCTGAGACTTACTGATCAAGAGTGATCACATCCTGGTGGCCTCTGAACTGCCGGGCCAGGCGTAAGGCTAAGTCATTGGCTTCGGATCTATTAAGATAACATAGTAGAGAGAGGGGACATCGTGATATAATCTCTCTTTAAAATATTTGAAATGTTAATTACAAAAGTTGTAATATGACATTTATTCAGACATTTATAAAGCAGTAAGTCAAAGTTCTCTCCTTCCCCTATGATCTTGCCCAGGTTACAAGCTTACTTTGCCTTTCCAATCCAAGCTCCCCAGATGTTTTCAATAAAGAATGAGAAGTTTTCTTTACTTTCTTTTTTCTTTTTTGAGTGGGAGTCTCACTCTGTCACCCAGGCTGGAGTACAGTGGCATCCTCACGGCCACCACACCTCATCCTGCTGGGCTCAGACAATCCTTCTGCTTCAGCCTTCCAAGTAGCTGGAACCACAGGTGCGAGCCACCATGCCTGGCTTATTTTTTGATTTATTGTAGAGACAAGTCTCACCATGTTGCCAAGGCTAGTCTCAAACCCCTAGGCTCAGGTAATCCCCTAATCTCCACCTCCCAAAGTGCTGGGATTACAGGCGTGAGCCACCATACCTGGCAAGCTGTTTTCAATAAAGAATTAGATGGACAGATGAAGCCCAATAAAAATTAAGGACATGCTGCCCATTTCAAACTCTAGTCCAATTCAGCAACATCAGTAGGTGACTGAGGACACAGAGGAGCTTGCATTAAGCCTGATCTGAACAGGAAGAACAGGAACTGAGGGTCCATTGTCTTGGACACCACGAACCATGTTGTACTGACCCAACATTTTACTAGTTTCCTTGTCTATAAAATGATGATCATACTTTTTCAATCTGATTCATAGAGTCTAAACATTCTACCCAGACACAGAGAAAGAAAATTATCATTAGTGGAATGTTTACTAGCTGTTTTAAATATGCTGAGTGTTTTACTTGTATTTATTCTTATAACAACTCTGCAAGGCAAGTATTGTCATCTCCTTTTCATGGATGAGGAAATAGCCTCAGAGAGGTGAAGTCCCCAGAATAAGGTCTCTCAGCTACGAAGAGGTAGAGCCAGGATTCAGACTGAAGCCTATTAAACTTCAAGACCATTATTCTTTGTACTGCTATTCTCTGTAGTAGTCATGCCAGTCTTTGGGGACAGTGCTGTTGGGGACTAAACCCTCTTTGACAGTACAGAATTTTTTAGAAATGAAAGTCAAACATTCCATTTATTTCATTTATATAAAGATAGTAATGCTTTATAATAACAAATTAGACCCCGATCCCCCAATATTTTAATTTTTTAATGAAGAAAAAACAATTTTCTGGTTATAAATTTGATTTAAAAATCTCATTGAAAAATGAATCACAGGAAATCACATAATTGAATATTCACAGAATTTCTAATAGTCAATTTTAATACTATATATCATTTTAAAAATAGGAATTTCTGATATATGCATATGCTTTTCCCTAATATAACAGTACATTTTGAGCACTTTAGACATGCATTTTCAAAAACATGTTTTTAAATACCTGCATAATATTCCATATAATGGATATACATTAATTTGAATTTATAGAGTTTAAAAGTTGGAATGCATTTATTTACTTGAATTTCCATCTTCCTTCCTTCCTGTATGCATATTGGGCAAATATGCTCAATTTCCTTAAGAAAACAAATCAATCAAAAATCGTTAAAAAGTTACAGCTTGTGTAACAGGGTTATTTCTTTGCTAAAATTCCTTATACATGCTTTGAAAGAACTGCCTTGGCCTATCAATTCTTTACCTACTTCCTCTACTGCCTGGAGAGGTAAACATCATTTGTCCAGTTAGGTTCAGAGTCATGTAAGAAAGTGAAAGAACCAGAAAGGCCAGACCCCTAATGTGTGGTCACTTAGTTAATGGTAAGAATCTCAGCAAACCTTTTTAGACATCTATGCTCCACCATGAATCAAAAAGATAGATTTATGTGAAAGAGTTTAATGGGAATGGTGATGGGTAGGAAACCAAGAAACATACCCCGAATTTGTAAAATAACAAACAGAGAGCTTCTCTGGCAGGGTTTCTGAAAGTCGCTTGGCATACTCAACAATGTTGTCGTGGAGGAAACGAGAATTTGTATTTAGGAGTTCCATCTGTTGCAAGGTAGCTTTGACCACTTCTGGGTGACAGTGTCCCACTAAAATTTATGAAACAAAAGTCCAAGACATAAGTTACAATTTTAAGTAGGAAGTGAGGGGAATTAAAGAAAACAAAAGTTGATTCCTTTCTTTTCCACATTTTACTGCAACTTTGCTAGGACCACTGGCACACTCAGCAAAGCAATTGCAGCTACTGCAATTCCTGAGACAAATATTAACTGTTCTGTGTGTGCCTTATTCCATAAATATTTCCTTCAAAGCACTACAAAGACAGGACATTTACCATGGGCAACGTTGTTGATGCAGTCCAAGTACTGTTCATCTTTCTCATCAAACATGTATTGCCTCTGGGCTCGCACTATTTTGATGGGATCCGCAGCAAAGAAAACTTTGCATGAAGGCCTAGAAATAATCAAAGGAAACACTTTGGTCTGGTAGGACTGCTCTCAGTATTTTTCCTTCTCAGAGAAGGTTACCATCAGTGGAAAATTACAATCACACAAGGAAAGAGAAAACATAACTTGAGTGACATACACTGACTTTCATTTCATATAAGCCTGGAACATTTTACCTTAATCCCCCATTCATGACACTGCTCACATTTCTGATGCTTGTTATATTAAATTTGTCATGATGTGACAACTTATTTAGAGGCACATGAATCAGCCCTCTGACAGTTCCAATCACTCAAACCAATAGCTAATTTTCCTTTGGGAGATTTTGTTCTATCAGAAAAAAAAAACCAAAAAAACAACCAAACTATTTTTCTGGTAGGGAGGGGATTTATGTGTTAGAAACTGCTATATATTTTGTAAATATTATTTAATCCTCTTAGCAAACCTATGAAATAGGGGCTATTTCATCCTCATTTTTACAGGTAAAGCAACCAAGGCACAGAGAAATTAAGAAACTTGCTGAAGATTACACAGCCAGTAAGTAAGAAAACTAGATTTGAAAGAAGATTGTTATGCCGTAGCCCAATATATCTTTCTCTTACTAATTTATAAAGAAATGAATAGCACCAAAAGCTAAATACAAATAACTCAGAGTTAAATACTACGAAGGAGATTTCATAGATCATTTCCATTTCCATGAATTTTGAGTAGTTCTTGTCCTATATCAAACAGATTTTTCCATTCTTAAATAATGAAATTCAATTATTCTTCTAAGCCCTTACTACATTCTTTTGAGCATAGTAAAAAGTCATCCATATTTTGGTTATTTGGATGAATGTCTAGAGTTTAAATTTTAGCAACATACAAGCATCACAAAGGCTTCTGATCTTAGCTTTATGGACATTTAAGAACTAACATTGGATAGATACATTTATTTGGTGATTTTGCAATGACAAAATACCCCACACACATTGGGGGTAGCTCTGGAGGTAATTAGCTACTTATATATTAAATTGATATGCAACTGTTTAGAAAATATTTTGAACAGTAGATAACCTCAGATTTTAAAGTTGCTTAAAGTTGATTTTGTTTTTAAGTTGATGTTTGTTTTAAAGTTGTTTTAAAGCGCCATCAACTAAAATGAAAATAATATTGAATAAGAATTTCTTATTGGCTCAAATTAAGCTGTTAGTTTATACCTACAAGTTAACATTTAAAAACAAAAAACCAAAAATAAACCTTTGTTAGAAATGTGAGATGAAAGTTGCAGTCTTCACGTTGTCTTTTTAACATACTTCCCACCTTGCCCGTGAGAGCTAAAGTAAAATCTCCTTTTTCCAGTTATTCCATGACGACATGTCACCTTTTACAGAATTTGTCCTACTCACATCAGAAAACATTAGATTGTCATTGGAATTTAACTATATAAGATTGAAACAAATGGAATGAGTGTTTAGAAAAAAATGGATTTTACACTAGTCTCCTAAACCATCCAGAAACTTCCCTGGTTGAGATTAGGATTCTCAGTATGAGCAACTGCTAGCATTTTTCAGAAGAGGATATTGGTTATTTTCTTTCTTCTGTCCCCCAGTTTTCTCTCATGCCCACCCATCCGGCTGCAGCAGTTAATTGCATATTAGCACTTCAGACTGTTGATTTTACAGTGTTGGGGTCGCCAATAGCCACAGTCATCTATGTTTATAGGTATCTTTTTAAACACGAGACACAAAACACTAACACACTTATTAATCTTATCTGCTCGCTCTTGTGAAGTAGAATGTTATTCCTGCTTTCACAGAAGAGGAAATTAAAATAACTTGACAGAGGTCGCGCCGGTAATTTGACACCCGTCGAGGGCCAGAGCCCAGGTCAACCTTGCATGCTCACCATATTTCCGAGTCGCTTATAACACGAATAAAACAAAAGCAGACTGGGGACAACACTACATTTTTAAATCGAAGCGCAGGCACAGTTTGGGAGACCAAGATGGATAAGAGGCGTCTAAATAAAGTCTTGGCTTTTCTAACACAAGGTGGTTCCAGGTTTCCCTATTGGCTAGATTAACCCTTTGCCGCTTAACCAAACGTGCAAAAATAAAAAGTTCACCTTAAATGAAAGTTGTCAGTGTTAGTTTGCATAGACATCATAATTGCTTAGACATCAAATATTCCTGAGTTCATGGCTCATAGTTCGTAGTTTCCAAACCTTTAGATTTGGGTGGGGGTGGGGGTGAGAGCTATCCAGCGCCCATCCCTGCAATAGTGTTCTCCTGCAGGGCTATTGGCACTCATGGGCCAACACCTCTGGCCGGCTGGCAGCCCCCGCTTGCCTGCCGGCCGCAGAGGCGACAGGACAGCGGCTCCCGCGCGCCTCGCCGGAGCCCAGCGCTCCCGGGCTCCAGGCGCGTCTCTGGGAGCGCGCCCGACCCCAGCACGCGCAGACGCGGCTGGGCGCACGTGCGCAGGCGCGGCAGGCACCTCGGACGGCTTTCAGTGCCGGTCTGGCCACCTCTCCGAGCGCGCGTTTCTCGCTCGCTTAATCGCTGCCTAGCTCCGGCTCTTCGCCCTCTGCGCTGGTTATGGCCCCCTCTCTTCGTCTTGCCTCCGGGCTGGGGAGCCCTTACCCGATGTGCTTCCCCCTGAGCGCCAGAGTGTCCGGCTTGCTGTACAGCTCGCACATGGTGGCGGGGTGCCGGGGTGCCGAGAAGACTCCCCTTTCCGGCCAGTGCGCCTCCCTCGCGAGCCTGGGACTGCCTTACCGGCCCGGCTTTCCTCTCGTTATCCCTTGTGGGGCTCCCTTGCCCCAGACGGCAGAGGTCAGTGGTGGCATCAACCAGCAGGGTCATCTCCCTTTTACGTCTTGCCCTGCCTTTGCCCTTCGCCAAGTCCCTCCCTTCCCCTCCCCTCCCGCCCGGTGCCTGCAGGGCCTGTCGCTGGACTAGCCATTCATTCGCCACCCGCCCCGCCCCCGTCTCACTGGCTCCCGTTCCTGCCCTGCTGATGCCCACTGCCCCTCCCATGCCCTCAGTTCCTTTCAGTTCGTCTTTTAGTTTTCTAACTTGGCTTTTTTTCCTCCTCTGCCTGTGATTTCCCTTCTTCCCTTCTTTCTTTTTAGCGTATTCGTTTATTTTCTTGTAAAACTTCAGAAGTAGGTGCTCCCTGGAGATATCAAGACTCTCCAGTTTTTCCCATTCTGGCCCTGCGCGTTGTCCAGTAAGGTTACCTGCCATTTACTCAGCCCGAGTGCGGGTCCTGACCATAAATAACGAGGTCTCAGCCTATCTCAGTCTCAGTTGGCAGTGATGATGTTTCAAACATCTACTTTAACAATAATCCATTCCTGAGTTGTCTAACTCTACAGATGACAAAACACATGCACATGACGTATCTCATTCAGACTTCAAAACAACCCTGAGCGATGAGCATGAGAATTATTCCATTTAATCAGGGACAAAGTGAAGTTATAATTACACATCTACCTGTTGGTGAACACAATACTCATTCCTAGGTTTCTTGACTTCCTTTAAGATGATCTCACATCAATCAAATCTGAAGTTAAATATGTGGACAGGTAGAATCTTAATTAACTATAATATTGAATCATAAATTATTTTACTATCTAGTCATCTGGTTTAACTCCTCTGTTCTGTTATTAAAATGAACAGTGAGTCACAAGAAAGATTAACTCTTATTCAAGGTCACAAAACTAGGGTTGTTTTGAGGAATTGAGGTAATAAAACTAGATCCTTTCATTCTCTTGGTTTCTTGAAGGGCAATAGAGAAAGGCTAATTTGCCTGTATCGACACATTTGATACATATTTGCAACTGACCTTTCTCTTGAAAAAAAGTTCTTGCACTGGACATGGTGGCTCCCACCTGTAATCTCAGCATTTTGGGAGATGGAGGTGAGAGGATTGCCTGAACCCAAGAGTTCGAGACCAGCCTGGGCAACATGGAGAGACCTCGTCTCTACAATAAATCAAAAAATTTGCCGAGTGTCATGGTGTACAGCTCTTGTTCCAGCTACTTGGAAATCTGAAGCAGAAGGATTGCCTGAGCCCAAGCAGGTCAAGGCTGCAGTGGCTAATGAGCGTGCCTCTGCACTCCTGCCTAGGTGACAGAGTGACATTCTGACTCAAAAAAAAAAAAGAAGGAAAAAAGTTCTTAATTTACACTAACACACTGCAGGAAATGCATTGCCTAAGATAAGAGGAAAAATGGAATCCTATGAGGAATAGCATGTTGATAATTCTACCTTGTATAAATGAAGGGCAGAAGGCATTTTGGAGCTTTGCAAGAAATCCCAAGCATATACTCTTGGTCTAGTTCTGTACTTGAGAGATGTTGCCATCTGAACATCTATTCTCAAGCCACTTAGACCTGGCAGAGTCATAGTTATGCTCCCTCCACAGACCTGCATGTTTTCTTGTTATCCCCCAGTACTTTAAACCAGCAGTCCCTAACCTTTTTGGCATCAGGGACCAGTTTTGTGGAAGACAGTTTTTCCACAGGAGAAGGGGATGTGAAGGGTTGGGGGGCGTGGATCATGAGGCCTTAGATTCTCATAAGGAGCGTGCAGCCTAGTAGATCCCTTGCACGTGCAGTTCACAATAGGGTTCTCACTCCAATGAGAATCTAATACCCCTACTGATCTGACAATAGACAGAGCTCTGCTCATTTCCTGCTGTGCGGCCTAGTTCTCAACAGGCTACAGACTGATACTGGTCCATGGCTCCGGGGTTTGGAGACCCCTGCCTTAAACTATGTTCTTTAAATAACCCTGGACTAAGAATCTTAGTTCTAGATCTGATTTTTCCATAAACTAATTGGGGCTTTCTTGGCCTTTCTGAGGCCAAATTTTTTTTAATTGAAAACTAATCTCTCTCTGACTAGAAGTACTACAAGTAGGGCTTAAGTGAGATCATGATGTGGTATCACAAGAGAAATGATTTTTTTTTTTTTAACAAGTGGAATCGATTTATTAAAATACTTGACTCAGGCATCAGCAATGGTGACTTCAACCTCAACTCCCGGCTCGATACTGATGGACGTGATCTGCTTGACAATCTCGGAGGGACTGTGCAAGTCGATGAACCGCTTGTGGATTCTCATCTGGAAGGGATCCCATGTCTTGGAACCTTCGCCACAAGGTGTTTTCCTGGTGGTGATTCTCAAAGTCTTGGCAGGCATGAGAACGGGTCCTTTCACTTAGAGATTCTTGCCTCTGATCAGGTCCGCGCACACTTTCTCCAGAGATTTCACGTTGCGGCTGGTGAGGGTGATACTGATCCGGTGGATGGCCACCTCCGGCTCCACGGGCGTCTTGCCGGTGTCTTTAAAAGCCGTAGCTGCGGCGCGGCTTCCTGACCGACTTGTTCCTCGGCGAGAGCGAACAGTGGTGAGTCAGCAGCAGAAGCGGGAGGACCGCGGCCCCGCAGCACCCGCGTCCGCGTCGTCTTCGGAAGGGAGAAGTGATTTTAAGCCACAAACTAGGAGTCCTAGATAATGCCTGTCCTTCTTAATCCTGTCCCCACGTCAAATTATTTTCAAGCTCTGTTAATTCCACTCCCCAATACATCTTGAGTCTATTTGCTACCGTTCTCTCTACTCCCACCATACATAAACCATCTGCATCACCTCTCAGACCTCTGCAAAAGCACTCTGTAACTCGCTTCCTTGCTCCCACTAAGCTCTACTCTGTACAGCCTTCTTCAAACTCATCAGTGACTTCCCATCAGCTTCCTTCTCCAGGCTCATCCTAGACCTAATCCACACCGGTCTTCCTTGTCCTTAATTATTTCAGGGACTTTGTTTTTGCTTTGGGTCTCAGTTTAAACGTCACAGACATCCTTGAAGAGGTCATTTTTGATTACTTCATCTCAAATCATTCTCAACTAATTAAAAAAAATTGATTCCTATCCTGTTTTCATCTTAATCCCCTCTTTGTTTGGTCCCTATCTGTCTTGTCCATCAGTGTACTCCCAGCACAGCGCTTGGGATATGGTAGGCTTTGACAAATATATGACTGACTAAGGGAGAAACACATTTCAAAACTTAGTAACTTAATCTGAAGGTGAAAGTTTTTACAGGTTTTATAACCCTAGAAATAGTTCAGTCTACTTGTGTGTTGACTGCTAACTTACATTTTAGCCATTTATTCAAGAGAGGGATACTTAGATTCATTATTTTTTATGGGAAAGCAAGTTGCATAAAAGATCATTTTCCCATTGTTTAACTTGTTTCACAATGTAATATATAATATCAACTAAGTACCAGGGATGGTCTTTAAATAAAAAACTGACAGAAAATGATACCAAAATAAAGATGAATAAAAGTCAGCAGACATCTATGCTATGCAACGCTTAATCAAAAAACAAATTCTGTGGTATTTTTGATAAGACCTTTCATGTACTTCTTGTGTATGATTATTTGGTGGGAGTGTGTGCAGCCGTGTCTTTTCTTCCCAGAAGTAGATGTTCACTCCATTTTGATCCTGACCCTATTGATTGGCTCACCCTACTGACTGAGTCCTGACCTGAAGTTCACAGATTGCTCAACAATCTAGGCTTGGCCAAACAAGCCATACTTGTGCATGACCGAAATGAGGAGGTGCAGCCTACACAAGCTTGGGACAATAAGAATTCCATTTAATAGTCCAATGAGAAGAGTCTGAATGGTAATTTTTAATTTTCTTATTGATAAAACAACAACAAACATGCAAAGGTAGATAAACTGTATGTTTCCAAGAACAGAGATTTTCCAGCTTATTAGACAATACTCAAGAAGGAATGTAGACATTTGCATTCCTCATCATTTCCTGTTACCCTTCTGTGCCTTAACCTACTCTGTCCTTCATAGGGATTTGTCTTTTCTGAAAATCACACATCATCTGGGACACACGCTGAGTGTGATGTTTTTCTGACATGACACATGATATCCAAAGAGGGCCTCCTTGACCCAAGATAGAACTTTGCATGAGCAATGAGGTCACATGTTTGAACTCCACCTGAGGAATCTAACTGATGTCAACATGTGCATATAACTGCACATAGCTCCTAGTTCAGATCAGAAGGAGAATAACAGGTTAAAAGAGGTCATTCTATCCCTGGAAGTTCCGAACCACTCACGGCTACCACAGCCTTTACTTACTGGACTCAGGTGATCCTTCCACCTCAGCTTTCCAAGTAGCTGGAACTACAGTCATGCACCATCATGCCCGGCTACTTTTTCTGATATGTTGTAGAGATGAGGTCTTACCAAGTTGCTCAAGCTGGTCTCTAACCCCTGGACTCAGGCAACTCTCTCGCCTCTGCATCCCAAAGTGCTGGGATTATAGATATGAGCCACCATGCCTGGCCTCAACCCACTTTAAAAAAGCCATTTGACCACAAACAATATGCATGAATTTGTGTCTCTACTGCATACCAATGGCACATCAAGGCTGTAAAAACCTATTCCTCTATTCCCTTCAACCTGAAGTTCCCACCCAAACTAAGTCTAGAGAAGTCTTCCAGACTTGTGTTTGTATGTGGTGGGGGACTTCTGGAGGAGGGGTAGTAAGGCTATTTTTTAAGTACCTTAGCTTATTTTGGTTCTTATTGAAACCTGTAGACAGCCTGGGAGCCACATGAAAACTCAAGAAGCTGATGACTGATATCTGTGCTTCATGTTGCTCCTGATGGAGACATGG